ACATTTTTACCAATGCAATTATATCCTTTTGCTGCTAAACATGAAATTGTGGACATACTTGCTAGTCAACTTACCCGGCTAATGAGATCTTTAGCTTCTGCAGACACGTAAGGGGTGGAAGGGAAGCTGAGGTCAACCTTCATAATCCTATGTGCAATTCAATTTAAATTCATGATCTACGACTGTTCCGCTTCAAAATAATGATTTACAAACACCAGGTGAAGCAACATATTATCCATTCCTCACCTTCTGAATGTATCTGATTGGCTCTCTGCCTCAAATGGAGGCGCACCATACAAAAACTCATAACAGAGGATACCCAAAGTCCAATTATCAACTGCATAGTCATGAGCTTTGTTCTCCACCATTTCTGGTGCTAAATAGTCCAAAGTTCCACACATAGTGTGTCTCTTGCTTCTTGATTGTACAGACCATCCAAAATCAGCAATCTTCAGTCGGCCCTACAATTGTAACTACAGTAATTTTACTTAAATATGGAACCCAAATTTTATGGCATGTTCTGAACTTTTGGACTAGTAATTGGTTTAATAACTACTGGTGTGGAATGTCAAGGTTTCAGCTATTTCAACCAAAAGGCTGAAAAGCCTATATTGTCAAAATTATAATCTTGTTAGGCAGATTGCTGAAAGAAACATTAATTTTCACTAACTCAATTGTGTGCATATTGCTGAAATCATGCTTCATCAGACACTTATCACATGTTGCAACATGAAGTAAACAAATCTCATGGTTTTAACTTTTAAAGAACCTAAGTAAATCTCATGAGTCATAGTTCAGTTAATGAAAATGAAGGAGCAAAATCTCCATCCTGGTGACCCATGTAACAATTTCTTGTTTCAGCTTTCTAAATTAATCTTAACCAAATGAATCACTCAATAATACAATTGATTAGAAGTCTTAGGACTATTCTTGTTCACTAAATTCAATTTCGGGCCATAGCAGATAAATCATCTAAACGTCAATGTGCAGTTCTCGTCTCTCCACATAATCGGGAAGAAACCCAACAAATGAGTAGAAAATTCAGCTGCTTCAACAAATTGAAAGCCATTATAAGGGTTTCAGGAGCATTACCTCGTGATCAAGCAACAAGTTCTCCGGCTTGATATCCCTATGAATCACATGCTTCTCATGACAATACGTCAACGCTTGTGTAAGACTCAAAATGTACTGATAACACAGAAAAGTCTAAATCAAACTACAAAAACCACTAAAATTTAAAAACAAAGTAATAAATATATAAAAGAAATCAACTAAGACAAAATACCAGAAACCCCCTAAATACAAACAAGGCATAAAACCCTATCATAATTCAATTGAAATTGACAACTGTTGACTGAAAACCCCAATACCGAAGTATATTATATCAGACGCACACATGTGAATTTTTGAGAGAGAAAGAGTTGATTACAGTGGCGGCTTGTTTTTTGGTGAGATAGCCAGTTTTTCGGAGCTCCTTATAGAGCTCACCACCATGGGCATACTCCAAAATCAAGTAAATTCTCTCTGCATCGTGAAACCAACCGAAGAGTCTCAAAACATTGGGATGACGAAGACTGGTCTGGATCTCCATCTCTCTCCTCAACTGGTGGTGCAACCTGTACTTCTCTATCTGCTCTTTGAATATCACCTTCAATGCCACTATATACTTGCTCTGTAACAGGAAACCAAAATTTTCAATTCCATGGCAATGGAAATCAAATTCCTCTACAGAATCAGTGTTCTCTCTCTCTCTCTCTCTTCATACATGTAGCAAAGTGTGTGCGTGTGTGTGTACCTTGGTTTCTCGGGCGAGGTAGACGCGGCCGAATTTGCCTTTGCCAAGGGGTTTTCCAATCTCGAAGTCTTGCAAGGACCATTGTTTTTGGGGCTTCTTTTCAGTTTGGGAAGGCATTTGCTTGCAATTGATTCGGAGCCACAGTTGAAGATTGGAAGTATGTGTGTGTGTGTCTAAGAGAGAGAGAGAGAATGCCAAGAGTCTAAAAAGTTGACAAATAAATGTTGTTTAGTAAAACATTGTTTTAGGAGATCATCATATCCGTATTACCCTACTATGTCAGGGGTGACCAATTATTTAAATCTAAATTTTAATTTTTTTAACTATATTAATATTCAATCCGATTATGTTCGATTCATATTATATATACCTATAAACAAATATATGAAGAAATAAAATTATTATTTGATAAAAGTGAGTTGAAACTCAAGTAAAATTTAAGGCCTGTTTGTTGGTATTTTTGGGATCGTTTGGTAACGTTTTTGTTTTTGTATCTTCAAAAAAATAAAAAACTGAGACAATTTTTGAATATATTTTGTGGTAAATACTGAAATGGAAAACATGTTTGGGAGTCATTTTTATCTATCAAATTATGAGAATAAAAATAAAAAACATGTTTGGTAACTACTTCAAGTTTTATCTTTATTTACTTTTATGGTCAAGAATATACATTACTTTTATTTTTATTTACAAAATTATAATAATTCATAATTGATGTTAAGAGTGAAATGAAAGAGAAGCAAAAGCAATGTCTGCAAGCCACCAAGCTCCAACCTCCTCCATCTTGGTTGGCACCAATTTGCTCTCTCTCACAATCTCATCCCACACTGGACCTTTGTCCTTCATCATCTCCACCATGCTCACCTTCTCTTTACCCTCTTCATACCCCACCATTCGGGTTTTGGAACACATTTCATGTTAAGAAGTAAATGAATATGAAAAAAAAAAATAGGGGTCGTTTGATAACCTTTGACAATGCTGGTAAAAGAGTGAGTTCCAAGACATCATGATAGAGTTTGATATTAATCACACATAATACACACATTCACACACACATATATAAATGTAATAGTGCCATCAATGTTGGAGAAAAAGCCAAGGCGACGTTGCAAACATGAATCAGAAGCAGTTTATAATCATCATTTCCCCCAAGCAGATGTCTAAAACCCATAGTCTTACATGATAATTTAGCCATAAGAAACGAACACAACATTACACTACACTAGCATAGAAACAGCTTTCTGCACATAAATTCCAAGAACATTTCATGTTTTCCAACTTTGCTCTATGCAAGAATAGTGGGGTTGATTAAGACTAACATAAAACTAAATCAGTAAATCATCAGTAAAATAAATCAGTAAATAAAGAACTAAATCAGTAAATTAACATAAAACTAACAGAACTAAATCAGTAAATTAATCAGCTCGGTGATTTTGCAGAAGCCAGACATACACTGCAGAAAAATAACATAAAACTTATGTGAAACATAAAAACACAGATGTAATAATGATTAAAGAGCTAAATCAGTAAATTAACAGAATTAAGAACAAAGGGGTCACTAACAAAATGGTTCATTAATCATCCCTCCCTGCTGATACACAGCCTGACCTGGGTGGCCAGGTGGGTTTGATATTGGGTTGTCATCGTTGTGGAAAAGGGATACATCTCTCTCTCTCCCTCTCTTCACTGCTGCCACACACTCCCTATGTATGCATACAATGCAGTACTCATAAAAGTGTAAAGAATTAACGGCTCTCTATGTTTCTTTCAGTGAAAGTGAGAAAAGATCCAAAAATCAGTAGAATCAAAATCAGAAAACTAGCTGCCCCCAAAAAAAGCTGTTCATTGATAGACAAAAACTCAATCAATAATGAAATCTACATACAAATATACAGATCTATGCATATTGTGGTGAAAAAAATACAGATAAAACAAAAAAAAAAATTTGATTAGTGTCTGTGATGTACAGATCTATGAACATCTATGCATATATATACAGATCTATGTATATATATACATATATCTATACAAGTAAAGGGATTACACTTACCTTCACAGCGAATGGAGGCTTCTTCTTCGTCGATCTGTGAGTGGAAGCCCCTCCGTCTTTGAGAGAGAGAGAGAGAGAGAGAGGAGAACAGAGTCGTTGACAGCTCCGGAGAAGAGAGAGGTGCTGAGAGAGAGAAGAGAGAGTCGTTGCTAAGAGAGTTGCAGAGGAGAGAGAAGAGAACAGAGGGGCTGTTCGAGTGTGGTCTGTGAGCACGAAAATGAGAGAAAGACCCATATTTATAGTTCAAACCATGAAGTTGTTTTTTGTGGCTAACAAGATTCGAAGTTGAAATCTCATTTAAACCAGAAACGCGTGTTTTGTGCTCGATCAATATCCGCTGGGCCTTCTAGTAGTGCAAAACGGCATCGTCCACCAAAGCCCACTCTTCGGCCCTAACGGCCTTGGCGATCTCTTCTGTGGCCAAATCAAAGTAGCCTTTCAACTTACCAGCACTCCGTTCGTTCCCAATAGCCACGCCCATCGCTCGATTGTTAGGGTTTTNGAAACCAACCGAAGAGTCTCAAAACATTGGGATGACGAAGACTGGTCTGGATCTCCATCTCTCTCCTCAACTGGTGGTGCAACCTGTACTTCTCTATCTGCTCTTTGAATATCACCTTCAATGCCACTATATACTTGCTCTGTAATAGGAAACCAAAATTTTCAATTCCATGGCAATGGAAATCAAATTCCTCTACAGAATCAGTGTTCTCTCTCTCTCTCTCTCTTCATACATGTAGCAAAGTGTGTGCGTGTGTGTGTACCTTGGTTTCTCGGGCGAGGTAGACGCGGCCGAATTTGCCTTTGCCAAGGGGTTTTCCAATCTCGAAGTCTTGCAAGGACCATTGTTTTTGGGGCTTCTTTTCAGTTTGGGAAGGCATTTGCTTGCAATTGATTCGGAGCCACAGTTGAAGATTGGAAGTATGTGTGTGTGTGTCTAAGAGAGAGAGAGAGAATGCCAAGAGTCTAAAAAGTTGACAAATAAATGTTGTTTAGTAAAACATTGTTTTAGGAGATCATCATATCCGTATTACCCTACTATGTCGGGGGTGACCAATTATTTAAATCTAAATTTAAATTTTTTTAACTATATTAATATTCAATCCGATTATGTTCGATTCATATTATATATACCTATAAACAAATATATGAAGAAATAAAATTATTATTTGATAAAAGTGAGTTGAAACTCAAGTAAAATTTAAGGCCTGTTTGTTGGTATTTTTGGGATCGTTTGGTAACGTTTTTGTTTTTGTATCTTCAAAAAAATAAAAAACTGAGACAATTTTTGAATATATTTTGTGGTAAATACTGAAATGGAAAACATGTTTGGGAGTCATTTTTATCTATCAAATTATGAGAATAAAAATAAAAAACATGTTTGGTAACTACTTCAAGTTTTATCTTTATTTACTTTTATGGTCAAGAATATACATTACTTTTATTTTTATTTACAAAATTATAATAATTCATAATTGATGTTAAGAGTGAAATGAAAGAGAAGCAAAAGCAATGTCTGCAAGCCACCAAGCTCCAACCTCCTCCATCTTGGTTGGCACCAATTTGCTCTCTCTCACAATCTCATCCCACACTGGACCTTTGTCCTTCATCATCTCCACCATGCTCACCTTCTCTTTACCCTCTTCATACCCCACCATTCTTCGGGTTTTGGAACACATTTCATGTTAAGAAGTAAATGAATATGAAAAAAAAAAATAGGGGTCGTTTGATAACCTTTGACAATGCTGGTAAAAGAGTGAGTTCCAAGACATCATGATAGAGTTTGATATTAATCACACATAATACACACATTCACACACACATATATAAATGTAATAGTGCCATCAATGTTGGAGAAAAAGCCAAGGCGACGTTGCAAACATGAATCAGAAGCAGTTTATAATCATCATTTCCCCCAAGCAGATGTCTAAAACCCATAGTCTTACATGATAATTTAGCCATAAGAAACGAACACAACATTACACTACACTAGCATAGAAACAGCTTTCTGCACATAAATTCCAAGAACATTTCATGTTTTCCAACTTTGCTCTATGCAAGAATAGTGGGGTTGATTAAGACTAACATAAAACTAAATCAGTAAATCATCAGTAAAATAAATCAGTAAATAAAGAACTAAATCAGTAAATTAACATAAAACTAACAGAACTAAATCAGTAAATTAATCAGCTCGGTGATTTTGCAGAAGCCAGACATACACTGCAGAAAAATAACATAAAACTTATGTGAAACATAAAAACACAGATGTAATAATGATTAAAGAGCTAAATCAGTAAATTAACAGAATTAAGAACAAAGGGGTCACTAACAAAATGGTTCATTAATCATCCCTCCCTGCTGATACACAGCCTGACCTGGGTGGCCAGGTGGGTTTGATATTGGGTTGTCATCGTTGTGGAAAAGGGATACATCTCTCTCTCTCCCTCTCTTCACTGCTGCCACACACTCCCTACACTTACATATATGCATACAATGCAGTACTCATAAAAGTGTAAAGAATTAACGGCTCTCTATGTTTCTTTCAGTGAAAGTGAGAACAGATCCAAAAATCAGTAGAATCAAAATCAGAAAACTAGCTGCCCCCAAAAAAAGCTGTTCATTGATAGACAAAAACTCAATCAATAATGAAATCTACATACAAATATACAGATCTATGCATATTGTGGTGGAAAAAATACAGATAAAACAAAAAAAAAATTCGATTAGTGTCTGTGGTGTACAGATCTATGAATATCTATGCATATATATACAGATCTATGTATATATATACATATATCTATACAAGTAAAGGGATTACACTTACCTTCACAGCGAATGGAAGCTTCTTCTTCGTCGATCTGTGAGTGGAAGCCCCTCCGTCTTTGAGAGAGAGAGAGAGGAGAACAGAGTCGTTGACAGCTCCGGAGAAGAGAGAGGTGCTGAGAGAGAGAAGAGAGAGTCGTTGCTAAGAGAGTTGCAGAGGAGAGAGAAGAGAACAGAGGGGCTGTTCGAGTGTGGTCTGTGAGCACGAAAATGAGAGAAAGACCCATATTTATAGTTCAAACCATGAAGTTGTTTTTTGTGGCTAACAAGATTCGAAGTTGAAATCTCATTTAAACCAGAAACGCGTGTTTTGTGCTCGATCAATATCCGCTGGGCCTTCTCGTAGTGCAAAACGGCATCGTCCACCAAAGCCCACTCTTCGGCCCTAACGGCCTTGGCGATCTCTTCTGTGGCCAAATCAAAGTAGCCTTTCAACTTACCAGCACTCCGTTCGTTCCCAATAGCCACGCCCATCGCTCGATTGTTAGGGTTTTTCCGAAACTCAATCGGAGAAGAAGAAGAAGAAGAAGAAGAATTGGCGAATAGAGATCCCAGGGTTTCGATCAGTCCTTTTAAGAAACTCATATCTAAGAGGGGATTGAACATAGAAACTTAGTCAATTTAGAGATGAAAATGTGTATGTGTGTGTGTGTGTGAGAGTGAGAGAGAGAGAGAGAGATGGTTACCATTTTCATTCTATGGATTGCTTTGACGGCAGCTCAAATCTGAGAAGACATTCTCAGTCCTATGATTGGGCTATTGAGATACCGATGGCCCACCACGCTACTATTTGGTCCGGAAATGAGCCGCAGGTCAAGAAGTAGAGAACGACAATCAGACCAACTAATACAAACAACCAAAAACAGAGAACAATAGCCATCCTCTTTGGGCTATTTAGCTATCCATGGCCCATCATGTGGCCATTTGGGGCAAATTTTGACCCGTTTAGTCTTTGGTAAATGAGCCCACCTGTGGGCTGAAGTTTAAAAGTTAGAACCAAGTTTTTTGGTGTTCGGGCCTTTCAACATCATAGAGTAGTGTTAGTGCGATTAAAAGCCTTAAAAAAGATTTGATCATTTTCTAGCAAAAGAAGGCGGGCTAAAAAGGCGAGGCTATTAACAACCAAACCAACCATTACAAACACTCCCCCCNTTTTTTTAGATTTTCTCATGTGTTCGATAAAATTTTCTCGTAAAAATTTTCTAATCAAATTTTCAATAATGTTAATAGATATTATTCAAACCACTCTTTTTCTATCCATATCAGTATTAGCATTTCATATACAAGTTGTTATGTCAACAATAATGTCTCTGCCCATGATGAACTATTCAAAAGGTTGCCAGCCACAAAGTGGATGGTGTAGTGAGCTGTGAAGATAGCACAATAAAAGATATATATATTGTATGTACTGACAATAGTCTCGTGCAATAAACAAAATTCACAATGAATTTCAATCTCCAACTTGCTCCCACTTTTTTAAAAAATTCCTTATTAGTTTGCTTCATTGAATTGTTTTTTTTGTTTGTAAAACAAATTCAATAAAAAGTAATAAGCAAAATGATACAACACGGATAGCAAAAAACTACATGATAGATCAAGATTATCGACAGCAACGCTGATCAAACACCAATCAGAATAGATTTTGGGCCGACTGTATAACAATTTCATAAGGCCCCATTTTAGAAAATTCGCAGCAATCTGAGCAAGCTTAAAAATTTNAGACACCAATCAGAATAGATTTTGGGGCGACTGTATAACAATTTCATAAGGCCCCATTTTAGAAAATTCGCAGCAATCTGAGCAAGCTTAAAAATTTTAACCCAATTGGTTTTTAGTCAAAAAAATGACGTTTAAAGCACTTTTTCTATTTAAATCCCGTTGTTTGGAAAATTTTCATAATATTGTGTATTTGATTGAGTTTTTTAGTAATTTAGGACCATTAGGATTTCTTATTTTTAGTAATTTAGGACCAATGTCTTTTTTTGTCTTTTTTATCCAATAATGGATGAGCCAAATGCCTCTATGTCGATTGCCATAAGGTTTCATCTTAGCCAAAAGTCATGTTGATGTTGATATGAGCTTCATCCCTTGTAAATGTTTCAAGAGTAAAATTGCATTTTTCTACTTTGTTTTGGTAATAGTTTCAATACACACACACACAGATTGGTCACTTACACACACACAACACACAGACTCAACACAACACACACACATAAACTCGTCTCTCACACACACACACATGCACAGATTTGTGTCTTCGTCTTCTAGGTTTCACAAAGAACGAGCAAGAGAAAGAGATAGAACATTGTTTTCTTCCACCGCGACAAAGAGATTATCTTCTTCCCCAGAGACAAAGTCGTGCATCGGTTTCTTTGCTCATACACAAAAAAAAAATACATTTTGTTTTAATGACGGTTGAATCCGAGACCTCATTAAAATTTTCACCTGAGTTACAAGCGTATTTTGTGCTTCAAACGTTGCTTGGAACACAATTTTTTTATTCTCATTTTTTTGACTGGTTTCTAAGACAACTAAGATGAAATAAAAAATAAAAATAATTATCAAACACCTTTTTGTTTTCAATTTTATCAAAAATTGAAAGCAAAAACACAAAACACAAAACAAGAAACAAAAATACCAACAAACATGCCCAAAATTTTACTTGAGTTTAAACTCACTTTTATCAAATAATAATTTCATTTCTTCAAATATTTGTTTATAGGTATATATAATTTGAATCAAACATAATCAGATTGAATATTAATATAGTTAAAAAAATTTAAATTCAGGTTTAATTAATTGGTCACCCCTGACATAGTAGGGTAATACACATATGATGATCTCTTAAAACGATGTTTTACTGAACACCATTTATTTGTCAACTTTTCAGACTCTTGGCACTCTCTCTCTCTCTCTCTCTCTCACACACACACACACACACGCACAGTTTTACTTGGAAAATATAACTATATGCTTCAAGTAGAATATGGTACCAAAAGCTATAAACACATCCATTTTCAGAAGGAAGAAAATCAGTTTACATGGAAACATGGAGTGAGGACAGTGTTCGATGATCAAATCCTAATCCTAATCCTCGTACTCCGTCTCTTCATCGTCGTCCTCGTTATTCTCCCCATACGTCCACCCATTCTCTACATTGTCGGGGTCCTCTTCCGTTTCTTCACTATCTTCTTCCTCGTACAATTCTTCTTTAACAGGCCATGGTTTTTTCAATGTATTCGTCTTGGTTGGAGAAGCACTAGAGCCTTTGCGCTGTGCAACTTTTGAAGGAGGCAGCTTCAAGTTTGGCTTCGGCCTGCTTTGTTTCTGAATTTTCCCGTTTCCACGTTTTCCGCCATATGCATCTTGATCACTGCCTTCATCCATCTCATTATCAACATTAGATTGAGCATTCTTAGCATTTTCATCTGGGAAATGGCCAGGGTGCTCTCTCCTCAAATGAAGGTTCAGTTTGTATTCATGGATGTAGGCCTTTTCACACCCATCATAAGGACAAGCATAAGGCCGGTCAGATGATGCAGAGCCATGTGCCACAGCAGCAGCTTTCGGTGTTTTGGATGGCTTCTCCGGAGGAGGTGGGGCATACTTTGTCACATCTACCATGCCCTATTCAAATTGTTGAGGAAATTTAAAATGAAAATTCAATCCCCAACTGTTACGAAAAGCATATAAGAACATAGTTTACGTGTAAATCAGTTTATCACTTACAAAAACAAAAGTATGACATCGAACCAAGTTTGTTTGGCCCCCAACATGTTCCTTTAGATATGAACTGCTTGGATGCCTTACGGATAGCAGTTTACAATCAAAATGTGAACTTTTTATCACATCAAAGTTGAGTCTATTCCCCGATATGTACAAGATGATCTTTTGATTTCAATAAGCAGCCATTTCTGCATTCGTTCTAACTTTTCGTGATTAGAACAGCTCTTTGTTCCATTTCAAATGAAAATTGTGATTGAAATGCTTGTAAAACACAAAGAATGAATTTAAAATACCATTTGGACATCCAAANTGTGATTGAAATGCTTGTAAAACACAGAATGAATTTAAAATACCATTTGGACATCCAAATGCTTCCTTTGCAAAATTATTGTCATCAATAACGAGAAGACTGAGTTTGGTAATATACAACTCATATTAAAGGACAAAGCAGTGCATGTTCTTATTGGGTGCAACAAAACATCATGATAAGAGAAACGAAAATGAATTAAAAATAAAGCAGCATTACAAATATGAACGAAACAAGGACCGTGAAAGGAAGCACCAACCTTTTCGTGATGAGTCTGGACGTGATTCTTTAGTTTGTACTCATGAGCATATCGCTTTCCACAATCGGGATACGGGCAGATATGATAGTTCTCTTGTGAATGTGTTTTCATGTGTGACCTTAAGTTGAAATCCAGGGAAAATGCCTGTATTTTTCATGTTAGAAATTGAGTGCAACAGGAAAGTTGAAGCAAAAAACAGAAGCTTCGGGAATCACGAGTTTTGTGATAAATCAGGAACACAACGGCAAGAGAAGTCTGACACTAATGGGTGTCAGTAATGTGTAATATAATTCATTATTTCCGCGAATTGTCTAATAATAACAATGGGAACTAAATATACAGCAAAAATCACAATGATGGTTTCTCAAACTCCAAACATAATATCTAAAATATCGACATAAACATTCTGGTTTTAAAATACCATAACAAATATGGAAGATAAATGTCTGAACAAAATCATTGCCATTTATGTTTCCTTATTTTTTTCCTCGGTTTTCTAAACACATAAAGGGTCAAATTGATATAGAAGATGTTAAATCAAGATTCAAGGTCCTGGTATCGGTTAGAGTGATCACCTTACCACAGCCTTCATGAGGGCACACATAATCTCTGGCTCCGGTATGAATAAGAAAGTGTCTCTTTAGCTTTGAACTATCCAAAAATTTCTGCAAAATAAGCCCATGATGAATAAAATGGTGCTTCATCAGTCCTAACAAGAAGGAGAGAAGCAATGACGGGATAACAGGAAGAAAGGGAGCTGAACTGATGAAGAATAAGGCTGAAAGCTCAATACAACAAAGCATAGCATATTTCATTTGGAAGCAAAATTACTTTACATGTCAGATTATTCGGAGATGCAACGTTGCCCATTGTTTGCAGAGTAGGTAATCCCAACTATAATAGGACTCAGACTCCGTCTAAGAAACTCAGACACTTTGATTGATAAATTTACATAGAACTACTGATGACAATAAGTGAAACCAAGAAGCCACCTGGTAACAATAGAAAGCAAGTATCACTTCCAGATTGCAACATTAGAAAACATATACACGAGCAATAGCCTACCAGCTGAAAATAAATACAACTGGAACTATAACTCAACAAGGCAAGGCCCCAAATGAGTACAGGTGGCAATTTTCGGCACGAACTGGATACGAAGTCAACAGGCTAGGATTTACTCTTTATTGACATGAACCCGAAAATGACACGATTTGTTGACACGAATAATAAACGGGTCATGTTCAGTTCCAACCCACATAACCCAAAATTGACACCTTCAAGGCTTCAACCCATTTATTTATCCATGTCAACCCTATAACAAACCCAAACATAATTCGTATATGACCAGTTTAATTTGAGTATAAATGGAAAAAAAATTGTACAACCCCAATATCATCCACACCCCTCTGCGCCTTTTGCCCTTGTTTTCTGATTCTCTCTCTCTCTCTCTCTCTCTCTCCCCTAACGTCCTCTTGTTGTGTCTGATATTCTCTCCATTGCTCTTCCCCATGGTTCTCAACCATCCATTCTCCATTACTACAGCATTGCAAGCAAAATTTATTGCCCAAGATAGATAAATCAATATCTCTTTGAAAACAATAATCCACTATTTCAGGATATTTCCATGTTCTTCATTTTTGGCCTGCCTTCATAGCTGGCATATAGACCAGAGAGCTTGAGCTTGTCAACTGCCAAAGAATAATGACTGCAAAGAGATTGACCAACTGGATGTGGCAAGTACTTGCACTATGAATTGCATCAAGTTTCCATCTTTCTCTCTTGCATTTCTTGATTGGTTTTGCTTTTAATTGAATTCATTATCGGGAAATAGTTCATTAGCTTTGGATTATGAAATTTGGTTAAATCTTAAAAAATTACATTTTTGATGTTGCATTTGATCCTCATACTTTAGAAACTGATGNCAGGAAATAGTTCATTAGTTTTGGATTATGAAATATGGTTAAATCTTAAAAAATTACATTTTTGATGTTGCATTTGATCCTCATACTTTAGNCGGGAAATAGTTCATTAGCTTTGGATTATGAAATTTGGTTAAATCTTAAAAAATTACATTTTTGATGTTGCATTTGATCCTCATACTTTAGAAACTGATGGAATTGTTCTAAACCTTTTGTATTTTTGGGGTTGAATCTTTGATTTGTGTTTTTCTATTGGAACTTGATCCATTTTTCATTGCTGGAAGATTTTTGTTTCGATAATTGTGTTGACTGGTTGATGGGCTGGTGGGTGATGCGTGCCAAAAGACAACCCATTTATTAAACGGGCTTTGCGGGCAGTGTTGGGTTGGTGTGATTACTAACAGGTCATATCAGTATTTGAGAGGCTCGACATGATTGATTAAATGGGTCATGTTAGAGTGGTAGAGCCTCTGCCATGAACTTGAAATGACATGACCCAAACATGACTCCACCCAGCTTGAATCGATTGTCAATCCCTATAAATGAGCCTTGTTTTTATATCCAACCAATTTCATAGGTTTCTCTGTTCCTCACACTCATTTCTCACTTGAGGTAATCCACGTAGCCAACTACATCTTCTGCCTGGATATCCATTTATGCCCATAAGTAGTTTCCTACCACATCAATAGAACTCTCCCAACCCCCCCCCCCCCAAAAAAAAAAAAAAAAAAACACCAAAAAAAAAAAAAAAACAAAAAAAA